AACCGGCATTACTATCAAAATGCGCATGACAATCGCATTCGATTTAATCGTGCAGCCCTATATGCAGGTAAATATTCCTATAGATACTACATCTGCTATGTTGGCATTGTCCCTATATATGGTGAAACAGTGAATTTAAAATGTTGATTTAAATATGTTGATTAAACATAAAAAAATTAATGTTCACTGCAAAATACGCACATATTCACAATTATTGACAATTATATTAGGCCTACTTCAATAATACTACACAGTACTTCATGGGAGTAGGTGGGTGCTAGAGAATTTGTTTAGCAGAATTTGCTTCTTTTGATTCTCTAATTGTTTTTTATTTGCAGAATCATGGGTAATGTCACCAGGAATTTTGCTGTTAAAACATGATTATTTAAAAATAAGTTCAATTAATGGAGGCTGATGGCTTCAATAAAAGCATATACCATCAATTAACGACATTGTAGCTCACAGTAGGGCTGTCTTTAAAGGTCTATAAGTTGTTGTAAAAAATAAGTTCCCCTACTGAGAATTGGTGAATGGGATTTTTACTTCCAGAACCCCACTGTTGCACTTTGTGGCGTTCTTTGACTGATCTATGAATGACATGCTGCAAAAACAATTGACCTAGACTTGAAAAGAGCTGCCCTACAGTTCTTTGCCTTTGATTGTTTTCAGCTTTGTACATCTGACGGCTCCTTAGCTCCTGGGGCTTTATGGGACATCCTACTTTTTACACGCTGTATAGCAGGGATGTATGCTTGTTCAGACAAACAGAAGATTGGCATAGATGGATTTGTTAAAGTGACAAAGCATTTGGATGATGATATGTATGAACTTATTTTCAGGTGTTATTCATGAATATTTGAATAAAAATATATTAATGGACTTGCACTGGAGCCAATCCTGATGTGACCAAATTGGTTACTGACTGACAGGCTAAATTTGCCCTATAGTTGCATTTGTGTCCTCAGCCTCTCTCTGCGCTGTGGAGAGAGAGTTTGTAGCGAACTGGCCCAGATTCAGGTGGCCTCACAGCTTCACAGATGGTACGAGGGAAATGTAGTTGCTTGTGCCAGGCCAAAGTGATGCTCACTGGCTCATGCTTACAGGAGAACGACTAAACTCTCCAACCATGGCTCACATCGTCTGATCTCCTGGTATGTGGTCTGTGCCATGCAATGATATGCATTTATTCAGTATTTTTTGTATAACAAAAAATGTCTTGTTTCATTTATTTTAAATAAATGCTTAAGTCATCTTGGATGCAAGTATTGGAATAGGACATATAAACATAAGGACACTGTTTGTGCCTGGCTGTATCTTGTGCTTGACCGCCCTATGTGCTTGCACCTCATCCTTCCAAAAACAGCACCAGGTCTAGGTCTCCATGGCAACCGCAACCCACCCTGTCTTATTTCTGTTTAGTGGAAAATAACTGCGCTCCAGCCTGGACCTGTGCTTTCTCAGCACCGGGCTCCTGCTGCGGGATGATGTCAGTCTGGGTCTGATGGAGACGGTGGAGAGCGTATCACTCAGGGATGGGCCTGTTCCTGTTTCCTATCATCCTACTAAACTTCTCTCAGATGGCAAATCAGCCTGTGCCGCTAGTGTGAACATTCAAGGTTTTCTTGCTCTTTAGCACTCCAGAAGCGGCCTTTTAAAAGTAGGTTAAGGCTGATGACGCAAGCAGAGTTATGTCTTATTAATATAATTAACTAGACAGAGAAAATCCCAAACATAGCTTTTGCCGCACACAAGCCTGTGCACTATCTGTGAACGGTATTGTTCATTTGATATTCGAAGTTAAAATGGCAAAAAACCTCTGACGAAACGGCCTCTAAATCACTTTCGCTAAAGTAAACTGTAGCAACACTTTGGCCAGATAGCTCGCTTGTTTATCATTCACTTTCAGTAATAGAATTGGGATGCCAAGACTATCAGGCTCATCCAACCGCACTGTCGCCTGACGACATGTTTCCCTCAAGCTTTTGTCCCTGTTGGATATTTTCTCACTGTTGGTTCAAGTGAAGCTTTGGCAAAGCAGACGTTGTCAGACTGAGGTGTGAAGCTTCTCGCCAGTGAGACATTACAGACTTCATTAGTGGCACAAATGTGCCCTGCTGGATTGAAAATGTCAGATAGCTGCGTCAGAGGTGGCGGCTGGGAGGGATGGAATTCTCTCACCCCTGATGGCTAAATGGGCATCGCTGTTCCCAGCAGAGTCTATTATTGCAGGAATAATCCTGTGACACCTTATGTTAGATTGGGTCAGGGGATCTGTCACCTGTGTGCGTCTTCCTGGCTTTTCCTAAAATGGAAAATGCCAGGCTTGTGGGACATGCTGAATTGCTCAGTGTTGCAGATGCAATT